TCCGGACTGAAGGGTCCCGGGTTCAATTCCACAGAGCTAGGCGTCAGGGCCTACAGACCCTTCTCCTCCGGCACCTGCCGGTCATGTGTGGAAGGCGGGATTGAGAGCATTGTAGGGTTAGGCTCGCTGGGAGGGGACAGAAACCCCAGGACGCCAGGCAAGCAAAACAGAGGTCTATTTCCCCGACGTGTGCATGTCTGGGTGGGCAGTCCAGGGCTGGCGTGGCGCTTCCTGGGCCAGGGACTCTCGCTCCTTCTAGCCTGTCCCTCGGTCACGCATGGCCTCTGTCCCCAAGTTCACCTCAGGGTCCAAGATGCCTGCTCCCGCTGCCGCCATCGCATCTGCATTCCGGCCGGGAGGAGAGAGAGAAGGCCCGGAGACAGTTCCCCGAAGGGACAAACCTACACCCCTGCTGTGCTCAGCCTGACCACGCGGCTGATGGAGCTGCAAGAGTTGCGGAGATAGCCTGTATTTCCAGCTGGCATTTGGCAGCACTTCTGTTGGAAAAGGGGAGGAACACAGATGTGGGAAGCCGCCAGCAACAAAAGGCTCCGGCAAAGTGTTTCCTAACGGGAGGGCCATTCAACCTCCAGGGACAAGGAGCCAGCACGCTACCTGCGTCAGGCAGGCAGATAGAAAAGGCCCGGGAAATGCCACGTCATGCAGAGGATGGAGAGAACGGGAGCTGCCACAGCTCTCGCTGGGAGTGCGAACTGCTAAGCGCCCTTTAGAAGGCGCTGTGTTGAGAGAAATCGCTAGAGCAGCACCTACGAAAGGTGACGCCACTCATACCTGAGCCCCAGGAGCGCCGGCCACTTCGGGGACAGGCTCACTTGGCCCGAGGAGGGAGGTGGGACATTGGCGGGAGATTGTGTGCAGCTCTGAAGAGCTGGGAACAAGCAGATAGATGCCCGGGGGTTCAGAAAGCACGGCATGTGCACGCAGTGAATTCTACTACAGCCATGAGGGTAGATGGCCCAGAGCCACGTGTGCCAACACGGACACACCTCAAAACACGAACTGAGGGAGCGCAGTGGAATCTGTACTCTTTCATTCCATAAAGAAAGAAAAGAAAAAAGGCATCATGTTCAGAATGGATGAACTGGGTGGTAGTTGCACAGGTGATCATTATTTTACTTTTTAGCAGTTGAGGGTTGTTGTTTTTTTTTTGGGGGGGGGGGGTTGCATTTTTTGTAATTTATACATAGCATAAAATGTACCATTTTAACCATTTAAGTGTCCAGTTCTGTGGCATTAAGTACATTCACATTGTTGTGCAAAAACCACCACCATCTATCTCCAGAACTTTGTCTTCCCAAAATAAAACTCCATGTCCATTATAAAATAATGCCTCACGCACACCCCCCCCCCCCCTTCCTACCAATCCCTAGCAGCCTCTGACAAACCTCTCTGCTTTCTGCCTCTGAACTTGAACTACTCTACATACGTGGAATCATCAAGGACCGGTCCTTTTGTGACTGACTTATTTCACTTAGCTTCAAGTCTTCCAGGTTCACAGGGCTTGTAGCATGTGACAGGATTTCCCTCCTTTGAGGACTGAATAAATACCCCATTGTATGTATTTACCACAGTTTGTTTATCCATCTAAAAAAAAAATGTCAATGGCCTTTTGGATTGCTTCCGCCTTTCGGGCTATTGTGAATAGAGCTGCTGTAAACATGGGTGTGCAGCTACCTGCTCAGTCCCTGCTTTTAATTCTTTGGGGCACATGCCCACAAGTGGAATTGCTAGGTCAGGTGATAATTCCATTTTTGTGTGTGTGTGTTTTGTATCATCTCGAAGCAGAGTGCCCTTACATGCATCTCATACTCTTTAAGAAGTCCAAGTACTGAATGGCCGTGGCAAGGGCTCCCCCATATCCAAGCCCTTAGAAGGCTAATCTACACCTTACCCCCGCACTGGTTCTGAAGGTCTGCTTCCTAGAGATGGCTTCATGAGGGCATGGGGCCCACTGCAGGCCAGTGAGATGGGAAAACAAGTGTGTGTGTGTGTGTGTGTGTGTATAGGGGTGACCTTCAGGGAACTATTTCCTCATTCCTAAGGAAAACACTTGGAGAAGGAGGCTTGGTTTGTGGACACGACTCTGCTAGCTGTGGTGCCTGAAAACAATGCCCCGTCTCGCCACCACTCTGAGGATGGGGCTGGCAGAGCTGAAGGGCGGGAGAGACTTCTGTTCCAGTGCTGTGCCAGTTTGGGTTGTATAGTGGACAATGCCAGTACAGGTACATGCAATAATTGTCCCATTTTTAACAATGTGTGTTTTTATTGATTCTAGAGAGAGGAAGGGAGGGGGATACTGACACAGAAACACTGATGAGAGAGAATTATCGATCACCCATGCCCCCCACTGGGGATGGAGCCCTCAACTGTGGCGTATGCCCCGCCTGGGAATCAAACCATGACCTCCTGGCCGGGCGCAATAACTGCCCTCTGCCTCAAACAGTCTGAATGGGAGCGGTTACTTGAGGTTGAAAGCATCCTCACGGATTCGGGAAACAACTTCCAATTTAAAACATTAACTAAAGTATACGCTCTGATAAGCATTTAAGAATATATAATAAACATAAACGCTCTCCTCGCTGCCCCCACCCCGTTTTCCTCCCCTAGGGAAATGTCCTTTTACACGACATCCATGTAGCCCATGTACACTACATGTAGGATTGTAAGACAGTGTGTGCTGCCCACGCTGAGGGTGGCAGCTGGCACGTGGCTTCCTCGCGATGTGTTGGATGATCCCAGCAGGCCGGGGGTCCACTGGGTCCAGGCGAGCCCTGACCATCTGCTTCCCTTCTCTGTGTATGTGTCATGCTTGGGGCCTGCCTCTTCCTAATGGCCCCAAAGAAACACACATGGGTCTGGAGCAAATCTATTCTAAAAGAAACAATAAACTGGTAATTTCTATAATACAAAAAAAAAAAAAAAATGCCATCGCACCCTCCGGACTCCAGTTTTGTTTATTTTGTGCGGTCGAGAAAGACCAGATTCTACACTGACCAGTATTTCCCCCATAGTGGGTGAAAAAGACAAGAGAGCTAACCAGACTGTGGAGCTGGCCCTGAAGACACACACAGCTTTCTATCCATGGGACTTTCATACCCAGCAGGACGCCCTGAGCTGCTGTCCTGATGCCGGGTGATCTGAGGAACAGGGGGGCGGGGAGGGGGGCACCCGGGACTCGCATCAGGTCCCAAGAACCCCGATGAGGACCTGTCATTCCCCATGGACCCAGAGGAGAAGCTGAGATCCCGAAAGGGAGAGCTGCCTGAGGCCCCATAGGTTCTCAGGAGCAGAGTGGCTGAAACCGGTTTGGCTCAGTGGATAGGGCGTCGGTCTCCCGGACTCAAGGGTCCCAGGTTCGATTCCAGTCAGGGGCGTGTGCCTCGGTTGCGGGCACATCCCCAGTGGGGAGTGTGCAGGAGGCAGCTGATCGATGTTTCTCTCTCATCGATGTTTCCGGCTCTCTCTCCCTCGCTCTTCTCTGTAAAAAAATCAATAAAATATATTAAAAAATAAAATTATAAAAATTAAAAAACAAAAACAAAAAAAACAGGGTGCAGTGCTGTTGGGGGGGCCTGGCTGTCAGTGCTCAGATGGAGGAGCGGGGCTTGAGATGGGGATGCAGGATGCTGCGGGGAGGGTGGGGAGAAGCCAGGGACTCAGGCCTAATCCAGGACCCCGGAATCCGTCAGGAGAGACACCGCAGACTGCCCGAGAGGCTCCCAGTCCGGGCTGCAGAGGCTGCCTGGAGGGGGGGTGGGGAAGTCACTGCCGTTGGCCTCCAGGCTCCGTGGGTCCGGAGGTCGTTTGGCACCATTTCTCCTCCTCACAGATTGCAGGCAGGGCCAGGCGGCTCCTCCCGCTTCTCTCGAGGCCCTTGGCACTCCGCCCGCCCGCAGGCCTTCCAGAGCCTTCTGCACCAGGCGCCGGAGGGTGATGGAGACACCGAGGCCCAGCTCAGGGAACCATCACCACCGGGAGCTCAGCGGCTGCCCCTTCTGCAGGCCGGAGGCGATCCCCTGGACATCACGCCGTGGGGTTTCCTTTTGTGCTCCGAGGATCAAGAGAGGACACCGCCGAAACCGGTGTGGCTCAATGGATGGAGCGCCGGCCTGCGGACTGAAAGGTCTCAGGTTCGATTCCGGTCAAGGGTGTGTACCTTGGTTGCAGGCACATCCCCAGCAGGGGGTGTGCAAGAGGCAGCTGATTGATCTCTCTCTCTCATTGATGTTTCTAACTCTCCATCCCTCTCTCTTCCTCTCTGTAAAAAATCAAATATATATATATATATATATATATATATATATATATATATATATATATATATATATATATATATAAGAGAGAGGATACCGTCTTCCATAGAAAGATCTGAAAACTTCTCATCACCCCTCCTGAGCTTCCAACTTGCTAGGTGCAGGCAGGACGCAAGCCCCTGGGGCGCAGGTGCTGGGAGGGAGGGAGGGCGCGGGGGACCACCTTCGGGGGGACCCGTCGGTAAGGCCCCCTCCCTCGGGATCCAGCACGGAGCTCCCCCGGGACCGCGGAGGACACTTACCTGGAGGCGCCCGTGTCCGCCCAGAGGGCGCTGCAGACCGGCGCCCGGCGGGCGGGTCCGGGGCGGGGCGGGGGCGGGGCGGGGCCGGCCGGAGACCGGCGCGGGGGCGGGGGTCTGGCTCTCGCCGGCCCGGGCCTGCGGGTTTATTCTAAGGCGGAGCTCGGCGGGAGAGGGGCGGGCGCCAGCGAGCGGGCCGCGCCGGGAGGGATCGCGCGGAGAGCGGACTGCGGCCCCGGACCCGCGCGCCGCGCCCGGACGGACAGCCGCACGCGGGGCAGCGCCCGCGGGAGCCGAGCGCAGCGCAGCCCCGGCCCGGCCCGGCCCCGCCGCGCCCGCCGCCGGCCCGAGCCCCGCGCAGCCCCGATCCAGACCGGCTCGGCCCCGCCGCCCCGGCCCCGCCGCCCCGGCCCGCCCCGCCGGCAGCATGGGGCGCGCGGCGCTCTGGCTGTCGCTGTGCGCGCTGGCGCTGCGCCTGCCGCCCGGCCTCCCGGTGAGTGCGGCCGCGGGCGGGAGGGGCGCGGGGCCGGGCGGCACGTGGAGGGGGAGGGGAGCCTTGGACTTCGCTTCTTCCCGCGCTAGCCCGGCGACCGGAGCCCCGAGCCCGCTCCCGCCGATCCCCTCCGCCGTCGGTGGGCGCCGGGCGGGGGTCCCGCCGCTCCGGGATCGGCTGGAGCGCCCGCGGAGCGCAGCCTGCCCCGGGCACCCGCCCCTCCTTCCCGGCCCCCGGTCCCGTCCCCCGGCCCATTATGTGAAACGGCACCGGCTCGCCGGCCCCCGGCCCGTCACCCGGGCGCCGCGGGGCCGGGCGTCCCACCGGTGGCCCGGGAGCGTGCAGGGGCCGCGGCCACACGCCCTCCCGCAGCCCCTGGTCCAACCGGGGACCCGCGGGGCCGGGGCCGGGGCCGGGCTGCGGCCGCCCTCCGCGGGCTGTCGGCGGGGAGCGGGGCCGCGCGCGCAGCGGCGGCTCCGGGAAGGCGGCCCCGAGGCCGGGAGCCGCGGGCACCAACTTCTGCGCCCAAGTTGTGCGGCCCGCGGGGGGCGCGCCCGCGCTGGGGACGGCGGCTCCGGAGCGGGGGGACCGGCGCGGCGCCCCCTCCCCGGCCCGGCGCCCCCCTCCCCGGCGCCCCCTCCCCAGCCCGGCGCCCCCTCCCCGGCGCGGCGCCCCCTCCCCGGCGCGGCGCCCCCTCCCTGGCCCGGCGCCCCCTCCCCGGCCCGAGCCCCCCTCCCGGGCCCGGCTTTGTGCCGGGGCCGCGCCGGGAAGGGAAGGGGCCCGCGGAGGAGCCGGGAGAGCGGGCCGGAGTGGAGCCGGAGGCGGGGGAGGCGGACGCCGTTGTCCTCCATCCCAAGGGAGCCTGGCCACAAAGAGCGCCCCGAGGGCCCCCTGAAAGCCGCCTCCCGCCCTGGCCGCCACCCGCTTTGTTCTCTCCGGCCCCGGAGCCCCGGAGCCGCCCCGCCGCGCCGCCCGGACAGGCTGGGCCGGGCGCCGCCAGGTGTCCGCGCCGCCGCCCGTGCCGGCCGCCCCCCGGGCAGCGGGAGGGCGCGGGGCTCCCGCCGGAAGTGGCCGCCCCGCCGCCACATCTGGAGGCTCCACTTCCCGGCGGCGCCGGGCACGTGGGCCGGGAGGAGCACCGGCGGGTGAGCCCTTCCCGGGAGCGCGGGGTCCGGGCCGGTCTGGGCGCGCTGCCCGGCCTCCGTGCGGCCCCGCCCCGGACGCTCAGCCCCGGACGCACGGCCCTGGGTACCGAGGGCTTGGGCAGTTCCAGGGCCTCCTGGTCCAGGGGGTGGTTCCCCAGCCGGTTTGGAAAGCGCCCTCTCGCCTCCCAGGTGGCTGTTGAGGTTGGGAGCGTCTGGAGTCCCAGGCGGAGGTCCCTGGTGCCTCCTGAATTACTGATGGGCTGGAGTGTGCCTGTGCCTGTGTGTGTGTGTATGCATGTGTGTTTGCATGCTTGTCTCCCTGTGTGTGTGCATGTGTGTTTGCATGCCTGTCTCCCTGTGTGTGTATGCATGTGTGTTTGCATGCCTGTCTCCCTGTGTGTGTGTGTGCATGTGTGTTTGCATGCTTGTCTCCCTGTGTGTGTGTGCATGTGTGTTTGCATGCCTGTCTCCCTGTGTGTGTGTATGCATGTGTGTGTGCATGCCTGTCTCCCTGTGTGTGTGTGTGTGTGTGTGTGTGTGTGTGTGATGGTGGTGGGGGTACCCTATTGGGGGAGCCGTGGCGGCAGATAGGATTTCCGAGCAGGTCTTCAGTGCTGTCCTGGTCCAGGTTTAAGAACTGGATGTCTGTCTTCTCCTTTGCTGGCCTGTGGGCCTCAGCTTGCATCCTGAATGATAGTGGCTGTTCCGGGGAGGAGAAGGGCTGTTCTGGAGAAGGCTTACCCCCCTGGCCCACCGGGCCTTCCCCGGCCGCTCCACTGTCTCCGGGCCCGAATGGGGGTGGAGGCCGTGGTGGCTGGGACCACCTTGGGCGAGGCTGGCATGTCCGGGCGCTTGGATCCCAGAGTGACCGTTACCAGGGGAGCAGGTGGGATTTGAGATTCTCTGGGGACCACGGTGTCCAGGGTTCCTGTGTGGGGAAGGGGCAGAGGCCGCAGTGTGGGGCGTGCTTTTATTTTTTCTTGCCTAGAAACTTTGACACATTGTGGAGACACGGGGCCCAGGGGCTAATTGATTCTCAAGGGAGAAAGGAGGGAGGGAGGGAGGGAGACTCCTTCGAGCTGAGGTGGTGGAACCGAGACCTGAGGCTGAAAGCCCTAAGCTCGGAGGGAAGGCTCTGGCTGGGAGCTCAGCTCTGTCTGTTTTAACTAAAGTTCGGTTTGTTTCCTCTTGCCCAGCCCTGCCCTCTTCCTCTCCAGGAATGGGGGAAAGGGGGTGTCCGAGCTGCTGTGTAACGCCTTCGCAGAGCTCTCCTCTCCCCGTTTCCTGGGAGAAACGAGGCGGCGGGGTTTGCCTCACAGGGGAGACGCTGTCCATAGGTCACCCGGATCTGTGTCTGGGGGCTCGCTTTGGTCCCAGTGGGAAGCAGGTCAGAGCTCCCCTGGGGCCGGTGCGGCAGGGTGTGCTGCCCGGGCACCTGGCTCTGAATGGGCAGGGGCGGCTGCCCCGGGCCACTCCCCGGAGAAGGGAACAGGTTTGTCTGGAGAGGCTTCTGTGGCCTTTTGTTTCTGCCCTGCGAGGAAAACGGCTGGTTCTGGAATGGCTATTGGCTGGTTGTTGTTTCTTTCCCCTCTCACTCCCGCTCCTCTTTCTTGAAAGGCATAAAATTCCTTTTTGCCTTAATTATGGGGGCCAGTAGAGACAGTTCCCCACGGCGGCCGGGCCGGTGGGTGGGTGCGGGCGGTGCTAACTGCGCCCGCCAGGCTCGCGCCTTCCAGCGGTGATGTCACTCCGGGCCTGGGCTCCACCACGAGGGTGGGGCCGGTGTGAGTGTCTACCTGCGGCTCATGGTGGGTTCCCATAAAACCTCATTAACCCAGATCGGCGGGGAGGGCGTGGGAGGGGAGAGGGGCCTGGAAAGAATTAGCGAGAAGCTTGGATTTTGGAGTTTTTCCTAGAGGAACCCTTTTCTCCTGCAGCAGAATTCGGGGTTCTGAAACCCCTGGGGACTGGAGTAAGCAGGGCTTTCTCAGGGAGCTGAGAATCCGTGGGACCTTCAGACGTGCTCTTGCTTTGAGCAGGGCTTCCTGAACTGTGTATTGCCCTTCCTTTGCCAACAGAAGAAGGCTAACCTTCACGGACCCGCAGCGCTGCCACTGTCTCCGGTGATCCTGGGCGCGGGCTGCTCCCTGTGCCGGTACCCCCAGGCTGCCACACTGTGTCCCCCGGCTCTCCCATCTCTGTCTGGGAGCAGCCTAAGATGACCTGGGTGCGTTTGAGGGTAGTTAGCCACTCTTCCGTCCCGTTCTGATGGGCCCTTTTCTCCATCCTAAGAAACGCGTCTGCTGTGGTAAGAGTTAACGCTAAGACTGGAGTTTTCAGCTCGGAGAAAGGGCTTCACCTCTGAGTAATGTTCACTATCTGTGACATGTGGGCCTTGTGCCTTCGGGGACATCCTCGGGAACCTCTGCCGTGTCCCTGTAGTGCCTAGAATGACAGGCTGTCAAGGGAGTCCTTTCTTTCTTTCTTTCTTTCTTTCTTTCTTTCTTTCTTTCTTTCTTTCTTTCTCTCTCTCTCTCTCTCTCTCTCTCTCTCTCTCTCTCTCTCTCTCTCTCTCTCCTTCCTTCCTTCCTTCCTTCCTTCCTTCCTTCCTTCCTTCCTTCCTTCCTTCCTTCCTTTTTTTAATATATATTTTTTAGAGAGGAAGGGAGAGGGAGAGAGAGAGAAACATCAATGATGAGAGAGAATCATTGATCAGCTGCCTCCTGCACACTCTTCCGGGGATTAAGCCCAAAACCCAGGCATGTGCCCTTGACTGGAATCGAACCCAGGACCCTTCAGTCTGCAGGCTGATGCTCTATCCACTGAGCCAAACCAGCTAGGGCTCAGGGCAGTTTCTCAGGGGCTCCTGGTGAACAGATAGGAATGGCCTCGGTGGGAGCACCCAAGGACCCCATGCTCCTCTGCCTAGCTTGCGTGGTATGTGATTGCCAGTGACAAGTAGCTTGGACCCAGCGGGGCTAACTGGCCACAAATCCCGACTGGCCAAGGCCCCGTTCTTAGCATGGGCCCGTCTCCCTCCGCCCGGCGTGTTGGTCTGGCCTGCAGTGCGCCAACTTTGCACACCTTACTGTTTGGCAGGCCACACGCAGCTTTGGGCTGAGCGGAGCCCCAGGACCGAGTCTCAACTCTGCCCCTAATTTACCACATAATCCTGGGTGAGTCACTTCTCTTCCACATCTTGATGTCCCGTGAAAAGCGGGCAACATACCTGTTCTCCCTGTCCTCATTCTGTCATTTGCGTGTTCGTTTCATAATGGATTCGTGAAAGTGTTTGGTAATGAAAGTGCCGGGGAGAGTTAGCTGTCGGAATAGATATCCTTAATTGAATACCTGCCATAGAGTGCTCAGGGCTTTTCCGACCGTACGTCATGTTACCCCAAACCTTTAGACTCCCTGTCATTGCCCCATTTAGTGGGTGAAGCCTGTAGAGCCGAGCCCCTCCAGGGGCCAGAACCAGGACTGTGTGTGTGTGTGTGTGTGTGTGTGTGTGTGTGTACACGTGAACGTGCATGGCATGAATAAATGGGTGGGCTGTCAAATCTTCCCTGCAGAGCCCCCTGAATCCCGCACAACCCTCGTGGGCATTTGCGGTTCCATGAAGAGCCATATGTGTGCGTGTTTTGAATGGAGGGGTCGTAGCAGTGGCCTGAGCCGTGCTTTGGGCAATCCTAGGATTTAGGTAACTTACTGGGTTTGGGTTGGGTCCCTCTGATGGTCACGTAGGGACAGGAAGAGCTTCCCCCAGGAAGTTTAGGTCAGGAAACAGGGGGACCCCTGAGAGGCGGGCGGGCAGTGTGCACCGGGGCCCAGGGGGTAGGGGAGCATACCGTCTTG